AATGGCGCGACCCTCAGCGTCAAAAGCGAGGACACTAGGGGTAGCCATGACAGCAGTAGACGGTCTCACCAGACAGGACGGGTCGGGCAGCACAGTAGCACAGCAGCACAGCAACACAGCAGCTCAACCGGCTCAGCAGCAACAGCAGCCTCGCAGGACCAGCGGCTCGGTTCCTCAGGCGGTGCAGGCGGCTCGGGCGGCTCGGGCGGCTCGGGCGGCTCGGGCGGCTCGGGCGGCGCGGGCGGCTCGGGCGGCTCGAGCAGTCAGCGACACAGGCGGCTCGGGCGGCTCGGCTCCTCAGCTGCGGAGACGGCTCGGGCGGCTCAGGTCGCACGGCGGCTGGCGGGCGGCGCGGGGGGCCGGGACAGCGTCGTGCAGCAGGGACGGGAGAGCGCGGCCGGGACGGGCGGCACAGGGCGGCTCGGGACCGGGTCGGGCGGCGCGCGGGCGGTGAGGGGCCGGGATGGGCGCGCGTGGGTGGCTAGGGGCCGGGACGGGCGCTCGAGGGCGGCGAAGGGCCGGGACAGGCTCGCGTGGGCGGCTAGGGGCCGGGACGGGCGCGCGTGGGTGGCTAGGGGCCGGGACGGGCGCTCGAGGGCGGCTAAGGGCCGGGACGGGCTCGCGTGGGCGGCTAGGGGCCGGGACGGGCGCGCGTGGGTGGCTAGAGGCCGGGACGGGCGGCGCGCAGGTGGCGAGGGGCCGTGACGAGCGGCGCGCGGGCGGCCGTGGGCCTGAACGGGCGGCGCGTGCGCGTCTAGGAGCCCTGTCGGGCGGCGCGCGGGCGGCTAGGGGCCTGAACGGGCGGCGCGCGGGCGGCTAGGGGCCTGAACGGGCGGCGCGCTGGCGGCTAGGGGCCTGAACGGGCGGGCGCGCTGGCGGCTAGAGGCCTGAACGGGCGGCGCGCTGGCGGCTAGGGGCCGAAACGGGCGGGCGCACTGGCGGCTAGGAGCCCTGACGGGCGGCGCGTGGGCGGCTAAGGGCCGGGACGGGCGGCGCGCGGGCGGCTAGGTGCCTGAATAGGCGGGCGCGGGCGGCTAGGTGCCGAGACGGGCGGTGCGCGGGCGGCAAAGAGCGGCTCGCGCGGGCATCTAGGGGGGCCGCAGGGCAGGCCAAAAAGGAGAGAGCAAAGGGCCCGGAGCGCGCTCCGGGCAGAAAAAAAGTTTTGAAGGTGGTGGGCCCTAAGCACAGTTCCCGCGGGGGAACCTGCTCGATACCATGTTGAGAATAGAACGAGAATGAATGAACTATGAATGAAGTGAGTACAAATAGGAAACCCTAACTGGGTTGTACCCCCTATGGGATACCCCACTACAGCCTACACAATAGTATAAGCTATTTATATGTTCTGACAGGAACCTGCTCGATACCATGAGAAAAGAGAACGAGGATGATTGGACTATGAAAGAGTTGGGTACAAGTACTAACCCTAATTGGGTTGTACCCCTTATGGGCTACCCCACTACAGCCTACACAAATGTATAAGCTATGATGTTCTGACACTTATTTATGTATATGAGAAGCGTGTCGAATACTTGTATAAATCTGGAAAAGAAAATGTATATTTGAATGTAAACAAAAGGCAAATATCGTTCTTATTTTATTCCACCTATGCAATGCGTACAATTGCTCCATTTTAGCGTTTACTATTTTCCAAGCTTGCTGGACATGTTTGGTATCATTTGCAGCATCTTGTAGGGAGATATGACGTTGGCGCAGTGACATGTTGCGCACAGTCCTATCCTTGCACAGATTCAGTCCAGCAAACGCACAAACAAGCGCCACGTGCTGCGTAGTTGTGCGAACGAGGTCAAACCAGTTCCTACGGCTAGGTAATAGGATGCAGTAGAGAACTGTGTGAAGAAATAGTGGTAAAAAAGGCATCCAGACGTTGGTGCAGTGACATGTTGCGCACAGGCCTATCCTTGCACAGATTCAGGCCAGCAAACGCACAAACAAGCGCCACGAGCTGCGTAGTTGTGCGAACGAGGTCAAACGAGTTCCTATGGCTAGGTAATAGGATGTAGTAGAGAACTGTGTGAAGAAATAGTGGTAACGAAGGCATCCAGACGTTGGCGCAGTGACATGTTGCGCACAGACCTATCATAGCACAGATTCAGGCCAGCGAACGCACAAACATGCACCACGAGCTGCGTAGTTGTGCTAACGAGATGAAATCAGTTCCTATGGCTAGGTAATAGGATGTAGTAGAGAATTGTGTGAAGCAATAGTGGTAAAAAAGACATCCAGACATTGGCGCAGTGACATGCGTGCTCTATTTGAGCTGGATCGGTAGTGGTACATATGTTGTTTCGATAGTGGCAGGTACGATAAGGCTGCACTGGAATGTATAAGTAACACCCGCCTTACTCCAATAGCGGCAATGCCTAATTGTAGATAATTATTACACATTCTAATCAGTACACTAAACAGCCGTAAACATATTCTCAAATTGTCATATTCTCCTTATAAATTGAGAGTCAGACGATAATATTATGCAAAACAAACTAACCAGCAAGCGATTTATGAGGTGATTTACCACTTCAAAGATAGTTTACAACTTCAAAGGTAGTTTAATATAAATCCCATGAACGAACAACCAATGTGTAACTACGAGCTCCTTAGCGGGATTTCGAGCACGATAGAATCCTTGCCGAAAAAAATGAACGGGCGAAATGCCCGAATTGAAACACAGGAAAGGCAAACGAAGCTGAACCATTTCGCTAAGAGCAGCTGTTCTGTAGCTATGAATCGAAAGCCAATCAAAAACATCCACGCCAACTCACCCTCTGATCATTCTGCCGATTAGGGGGGTTCCAGCTCGTACATCTCGGCCTCCCCCCGTGGGTGGCGAATGCCGCAGGCATCGAGCAGTGTCTCAAACAGCCTTTTACCCCAGTCTGACCACTCCTCGACTGGCAGGGCTGAAAGCGGCGTGGTGCGGGCGACGTAAGCGATCCTTCGTGAGATGCACCGAGAGAGCAGAAGGGAAGCCAGCTGTGGCTCCATCCGCGCTATTAAGGGCAACGGCCCGCCCATGGTGTCGAGGCTGGCACGTAGGAACGCGGCAGTTGCGTCACTGCCACCGATGAAACTGCCAAGCACCTTCACCCCATCTTCAGTGAAAGGTACGCCCACTGGTAGCGCAGCTCCCTGTCGGCCTGCCTGGGACCAGGCTGCGCATTTGGCGGGGTTGTGGCGCAGCCCAATCTCCCCAAGGTTTCCTGTGAAGTCCTCAAACGCTGCTGCACACGTGGCTGCATCTCCAAGGAAAGTTACGTCGTCCGCATAGGCAAGACAGACGACAGAGGGGAAGGTGAGCGCTGTTTTCGTCAGTGCAGGGTGTATGGCGGCAGCGAACAACAACGGGCCGAGGGGATCTCCCTGTCGCACCCCGGTCTCGCTCAGCAGAGGTGGGTGTGAGAAGCCAGCATCCAGCCATAGAGCCGAGGGAAGGCCGTACAGCAGTTTAACTAACGGTAAGAGCGAGGCGAGGGTGGAGTCCCGAAGAGATTTGATGATGGCGTCGCGGTTGACGCTGTTAAATGCGTTCGCCAGATCAGCCTGCAGGACCAAAGCTCCTGTGTTCACCATGAGGTAAGTGCGTGTGATGTGGATAATCGCTTCCGCCCCACCAGGGACAGCCACGCCGAACTGGTGCGGTAGGAAGAACTCACGGGCGGCCCCTGCGGTCAAGGTAAGCACCGTCTTGGCCGCGAGGCGCGTTATGCTCTCGCCGATGGCGATCGGCCGCGTCCCCCCATCGGGCTTGCTCAGGGCAATTAATCTCGAGGCGGTGAGGAGCTCGGCCACTGCAGGAGGTAGGTTTCCCGTGAGAATCGTGTTGACTAGTGCGTGAAGGTGCTTCCCAACGGAGTGGTTGATCAGCGCTGCATCGCGTAAGTGTTCAAACGTGGTTCCAGAGGGGCCCGCTCCTACCCCCATCTCGCAGCTTCCCAGCACCTTGGAGAAGACTGCAAATGGTGCTGATAGGTGGGGGTCAGGTGCTGGAAAAGTCCAGTCAGGTGGGGAGGTGGGCGCTGGTGGGTGTTGGGCGCGCAGGGCCTCCAGCACAGTTGGGGAGGGAATGCTGACTGGCGTGGCTTCCAGTGCCATCACGGCTCGTCGTAGGCTGCCACGTCGTGCCAACCCCTCTGCCCTAGCGATGACACCAATGTCATCGGGCTGGTGTCTAGGTGGTTGGGGCCACGTCAGTGAGCCCACTGTCTCATTGTATAGCTTATCCCACTCCCCGGACAGAAACTGACGAAGGCGGGCACTGACAGCCTTCCAATCTGGACGTCGTGGGGACAGCTGGCGAAGTGTTAAGCGCGCCAGGAATAGAACGACCGTCCAAGCAGAGGTAGAGTCTGGATATTTCGCCAAGCGCAGCAGCGGCGCCAACAAGGCTGTGGCGAAAAGCTTGCGTGGGTCTGGAGGGAGGTGGCGGGAAAGGGGTGCGTGGCGAGAGTCGCGTAGTTTCGTGAGATCCCAGGCTACAACGCTGGCGAATAGCGTGTCGTCCTTGGCGAGAGTTTCTGGGGATTTTTCCTCTAAGGTTTGGGTTGGGACGTGGTTACCGCCAGGTGCAGGTTGGGGGGCGGTGTGGGTAGGGGTCTGAATGTTGGAAATCGGGGTTGGGATTGGTGGAGTGGCGAAATTTCCCGATGCGGCACGGGTTGGTGTTGGGGGACCCCTCCTGTTGGATATCACTGCTGAGTTTCCCCCCGGCAGGTGAGTTGCGGCTGGCCTGCTCGCTCGAGCAGGGGTCTGTTGCTGCTCGTCTTCCAGTGACTCAGAGCTAGAGGTCGAGTCCGTAGATTCTGCAGCTACAAAGCTGCCGTCTGAAGTGGTTGAATTATTATCGTTGCTCATCTCAGTTAAAGCCCTCCGTCCCGCCTGCTGGTACACGTTCTCCGGACCGCCTCCTCGAGCCCTCCCGCCACGCCCAGCTGCTCGCCCTCCCCGGCCTGCAGCTCTACCTCCGCCGCGTCGGCCGCCCGATGGGCGAGCGCTATCATCCCTCTGCTCCGATGGATCTCCTGGCTGCTCCTGAGCGCGGGTGTTCCGCGGTGAGCGATCTCGCTCCCCGTCCGCTTCCTCCTGCACGTCCTGCCGCGAGCGTCCCTGTCGCTCCGATGGCTGCCGCCGATCAGATTCGTCGCCGTTTCGAAGATCAGCGGCCCGCGCCGGCGCCTGCGCGTGCGGAGTCCGTCGTGCGCTCCGACGCAGAGGCTGCGGCGCGCCGGGAACGTTCGCCTCGTCGCCGATCGACAGTGGCGCGCGGTGACGGGCAGGAGAGCCACCGTGCGGAGCGTCACGCCGAGCCTCGGTCGCCTCGGAAGCCGCGATCACCGCACTCACCACGTTCACCGCGCCGCGCGGCATCGAGGAGCCGATCTCCGGACCGCCGGTCGCGTCGTCACCGTTCGCCCGGTCGCCAAGCCACACACTATCGATCGCCTGCTCCGCACGTGTCTCGCCCGCGGTCCCCATCTGCGCGTTCGCCGCGGCCGTCAAAGCGCCAGCGGCTCTACTCCTCGTCACGGGGGCCGATCCCCTGTCCGCCAGCGCCAACGCGTCCCTTCTCGCCAGCAGTCGCCCGCTCACTCGAATGCAAGTGGATGTGGGCGTCGTGGGCAGCGGGGAGGGTATGGACGTGGCGGAACTGCGCGTCAAGCGCCGTCCGAGCTTGAGCGCGTTCTCCGAAGGTTGGACGGCGTGGAGAAAGCGCTCCACCGCTAGAACGCGGAGGCGTCATCCCATTCCGTGCCGCCGGCTGGCCCCGTCGTTCCTCTTGCTGCCCTCCTGCCGCACAACCCTGAGGGCTCCCTTGCGCGTCCTGGTCGTCCGCTGCCAGCAGGGGCTGGCTTCGTGGGCGCAGGTGGTGGGGATCCCTGGGCCGCGTATGCACCCCTGCGTCCTCGCTCCCCTCCACGTGATCTCGCTGTGTCGTCCCGCCGAATGCGCGCCGCTGTTGTCCTTCCGCCGATGAAGGAAGTGCCCACGGTGACCCTGGCGCGCTTGTGGTCGCTAGCGGAGAGCCTGCAGAGCCTTGAGCTGATACTCCTGGAGTCCCATGGCTCCATGGCGGTGACCCCACCGAGCACATTCTCTCAGATGCCACGAGCACGGTGTCATGCGGCGGCGTCAGCGCTATTCTCGTACGTATCGCCACTGCAGGTTGCGCCCTCGCCGGGAGTAGTCGCGGCCACCCAGCTGGCCGAGAAGGCCCTGGATCTGAAGACGCTTGTTGGATCTCGCGGAACTCCTGTTGACGTTGTCGGCGCCACCGCGTCAGTGGTCCGCCTGATGTGGTTGACCACGCGCGAAACGCTTGGTGAGCTTGAGGCCGACCGCATGTACGCCCCTCTCGCGCGTGAGTAGACCCGCTCCATGTTTGCTCTCCTAGTTGTCGTTGCCTGCCATGTTCGTCGGTGTTGTCATCTTGCTATATGTCATCCTTGTTGATCTTGTCATCCCGAACGCGCGGCCGCAGGCCGCGCCCGCGAGCGCCGGCGCGAGGCGCCGGCGCGAAGCGTTGGGAAAAATTGGAACACCGAATGAAGAATGAGCTAAACCAGAGGCCAGGAGGCCATTATATAGCTGGGGAAGAGAGGGGAAGAGGCTAGGAGGGAAGAGGCTAAGTCCTTGCTTCTCTCTCTCTCGCTCTCTCGAACGAGCGCTGGGAAAAATTGGAACACCGAATGAAGAATGAGCTAAACCAGAGGCCAGGAGGCCATTATATAGCTGGGGAAGAGAGGGGAAGAGGCTAGGAGGGAAGAGGCCAAGTCCTTGCTTCTCTCTCTCTCTCTCTCTCTCTCTCTCTCTCTCTCTCTCTCTCTCTCTCTCTCTCTCTCTCTCTCTCTCTCTCTCTCTCTCTCTCGAATGGTCCTCGTATTGATTGATGGGAGATACATGGGAAGATGCAAACACATGCAAACCCAGACATAACACTCGGTCTACCTAACTACCTCATTCCCTTACTCCCTCCCGCCCCCTCCGTCCGACCCTAAAGGTCGAACGGGGGCTCTATTAGCTGGTAGAGCTGGCCTTCGTTAAGGGGGGCAAAGGGGCCCCGCATGCCGAGCTCGTCCGCTGCTATCGCCTCGTTGGTCTTGCAGCGGAGGGCGTTGGCTTGTGCTTTTTGGAGGCACACGCTCCAGCGCTGGCGGTATTCCGTCAGCAGCTTGGCGGCCTCGTAGGAGTTGGGGGCTGCGTTGAATCGCAACTTGGCCGCCAGCTCCGCGCATTGCCGCAAGAATGCCAACACCCCGGGCGAGGGGTACCCATATGTCTCTACCGCTAGGGCATGAAAGCCCACCCACGCATTCCGGCGCGCGTATTTCTGCTCCTTCTTGTCCGCAGCTGCCCTAGCCGCCCACCCCGGTGCTCTATTGCAGTTCTCATCTTGGTGAGAAACGGGGTCCGTCACTGTTACGTCGCACATCCAAACCTCTCCCGTCCGGGGATGGCGGATTGCAACGTCCGCCTTCAGGTTTTCAACGAGAGAGTATACATAGGTTTCTTTGTGCACCGTGAATCCCGCTTCTGCCGCAATCAAAGCAATCTCGTCCCTGAGCGCATGGTGAGTCGCAATCCTTCCCCCCCCTTTCTCGCAGCGCATGAGATGGTTTGGGAGGCGGTCATCAGGGAATTTGGTGCGGTAGCGGCAGTCGCAGCGCCTGGGGACAGGTAGGGGGAGGCCCAGGCGGAACGCAGCAGCGGAGGAGAGCTGGGAGGGTCCCATCCTAAGCGAGGGTATGATGGGTAGTGCCAGCAGCCAATCTCCCGCACCAGGGCCGAGCACCGACTGCATTCTCTGGGCCTTGCCTCGTTCATGACCCTCAGGAAGCGGCGTGTCTGAACCGCCAGCGCGAGAGACTGCTGCAGCTTGAGGCCCTGTGGGTCTGCTTTCCTGGCCTGGAGAGCTTCTAGAGCCTCGGGGGGGAGGGCTGCTTCCGCTGCTACAAGGCGTGCAGGCAGGGCGTGCGCGGAGCCGGAGGTGGGGTCCATTAGGGGGAGGAGGGCTGCTACATCTGGGTGGAGTGCCTCGGCCAGGGAGTGCAGTAAGTGGGAGGTGCCCACCACGGACGCAAGGTACGCAGAGCTCCCTTCAACTGCAGGATTTGTAATGCCAAGCCCCCCCAATGTTACGGCCAGCGCCGCTTGCCTCCAGATTCTCCTCTGTTCCGCCTCACTCCTTGGCAGCATGATATGGGCCGCGTCCAGGAAGGTATGCAGCAGTTGCTCCCCCCATGCCGCCCATTCATCCTCAGGTAGTGCCTCTAGCGGAGTGGTTCTGGCCAGGAAGGATGCTCGCCGGCCCACACAGCGGGTGAGTAGCAGCAGGCACAATTGGGGGTCCATTTGGGCCAGGAGCGGCAAGGGTTCTGCTGCTGCTGCAAGCCTTTCCCTTACTCTGGCGGCACAGCCATCTGAGGTCCCGATTGGGCATCCTAATATCCGCAGTCCGTCTGCTGCAATGGGGAAGCTCGGAGGGAGAGAGGCGGGGTCTATGGCGGTTGCAGACCAAGCCTCACACTTCCCAAGGTTGTGCTCGAGGCCTATGTGGATCAGTGCGGCAGTGAGGTGTGTAGATGCCGCCGTGCACGCTTCTGCTTCGCCTAGCAGCGTTATGTCGTCTGCATAGGCGAGAATGACGACCCTTGGGTGAGCTAGTGCCGTTGCGGTAAGGTGTGGGTGGATGCTTGCCGCAAAGAGCAAGGGGCCAAGAGGGTCCCCCTGGCGGACGCCTCTAGCACTTAGCAGTGGAGCCACGCCGAAGTCATGGTCGAGGTGGAGTGCTGAGGGAGTTCCGTAGGAGAGGCGTACAAGGGGCAGAAGGCTTTCAAGGGACTCGTTCTTGAGCCCCTCGAATACCGCCGCCCTTTCCACCGCGTTAAACGCGTTGGCGAGGTCAATCTGCAGCGCCACCGAGCCTGGGTTCTCCTCCAGGTATGTGCGCGCAGTGTGAATGGCCGCCTCAATCCCTCCAGCCACTGCTACCCCGAACTGTAGAGGCGCGAAGTGAGATTGTGCCGCCGTCCCAGTCAGGAACAGTGCTGCCTTGGCCACCATGCGAAGAAGGCATTCGCCCACGGCTATCGGTCGGGTCCCCCCCTGCGGTTTTGTGAAGGCCAAGAGCCGTGAGGCTGTGAGGAGCTCGGTGGCCTCGCTGCTGAGTTTCCCGGCTATAGCTGTATTGGTAAGTGCGAGGAGATGGGCGAAGATGTCTGGGTTCATCAAGTCCCATTTTACATACTCACGCAAGAAAATCTGCCAAAGAGCGTGAAGCCATTTGATGAAATTGGTACGTCTCACTCTCTCTCTCTCTCTCTCTCTCTCTCTCTCTCTCTCTCTCTCTCTCTCTCTCTCTCTCTCTCTCTCTCTCTCTCTCTCTCTCTCCCTCACGCTCTCTCTCCCTCACGCTCTCTTGCACACTTTCTTGCACTATTAGTCTCACTCATTTTTGTCCAAATGTTGCGGTATGTGTGCTCCAAGCAGTGTTTCAGAACTTTGGGATGTTGTCACACAAGGATTTGTATTTATATGACACGAAAGCTGCCTTTTTCGCATGTGATCACGGGCGCGCAACAGAGCTGAAAAGCTTCAATCACTTAGGGGAAAAATTCAGGTACATTCAACCTTATCTTGATACACATTCTGACATCTGCAAATTCTGCTTATTTCCTTAGGAGCTTGGTTTGCTGATTTGTTGTGCTCTGCTCTATGTGCTTGCAGATACGAAGTGCCGTACTCAGCTGCCAGGACCACGCTATATTTTGGTGCACAAATTTTTTGGTGTCGCTTTGTTAAGTTTGAAATCCACGTAGGAGATTACACTCCTGATTACTAGCTGACTTCCAGGTCGACTTAAGAGGTTGCCTTGCAGGTCATGTGTGTTGTGGTGTAGCTTTGTTACCAGGTTTGCAATTCACATCAGTCAGTCCAGACCTCCGCTTGGCTTGCAGATCATGTGATTATCTTTTGTTACCAGGTTTCTAACTTCTGTGTGCAAATACACTCCTGATTGTGATACTAGGTGACTTTCAGGTTGACTTAAGAGGTCACCTTGCAGATAATGTGTGTTGTGTAGCTTTGTTGGGGTCTGCTATTCACATCAGTCAGTTCGGACCTCCACTTGGCTTCAAAGCAGTGCCCCAGATATCAGACTTTGGAGTCTGAATCAGAGTCCGTTCAGACTTTTTTTTTGTACCTAGTCTGAACTCAAAGAATTTATTTATGTACCTTGTCTGATTTTCCAGAGTTTTTTCTTAAGAGTTGTCTGAAATTTCAGCCTAATTTTACTAGGGTAGGCTGAGCCTCAGACTTGTATCGGGGGTACACTCTGCGCGCTTATCGGAGCAAAGTTTCCTGGAAGTTTCTTTCCGATATGCCCACTTCCGAGATGGCAGTGGAGTGCCAGGACGTGAGCAACGCTCACTTCGACAGTTGGGACATCCAAATACACTCGTTCGTCGAGAATATCTTCCAGTTACGCTGAGAAAATGGTTGCGTGATTACGAGATTTCTGAAGACAAAATCTCGTCACATGTAAGTTATCGCTAATGTATTGTAAAGAATAGGCGACTTTGATGCTGATTCGCTGTAAAAACATCTGCAGCACGCACTGGTGTGAATCGCGAAGTTCCTGATTCGTACTGAAAGTTTCGTGTGGCACTGTCTGATCCTCACATGCCACGCCAAGCAACAGTTTCTGCCTCCCTACCAGCTCAGCTGCGTGGCACTTGGCCCACCTGATACAGATCGGGTGAACGATCGAACCGCTTGAAATGCAAATCGGCAGAGCAGAAACAACCGGCACACATGAGATCAGCAGAGCAGAAACAACCATGCGCTGCACGTGACAAAAACACTGGAACGCCGCCGACATGAGCAGAGGCGATGCACGAGCACGAGCACGTTGCCTGATGCGTTGGTATGGTAGGCTGTAATCAGCCTCAATGCTATTACAATTGATGCCTGTTTGAGCCCCTCCCGGTTGCCTTGTGAAGGGAGCGTAAAAGCTGTAACGAGCATTTCGCATAAGTTTCGTCAGTTCGCAGGTAGCTAAAAATGATTCGCAGGTGCTTATAAACTAGATCTGTTACCTTATTTGATTTCAGTCTCTTCTGCTTGACCTCAGTCTGTTCGTTACTATTGGTTGATAACCACGCGACGCGCTTATAACGTGGGAGCAGGGCCTCAGATTCACTTTTAGGGTCGTCAGGCCATCAGGGTCCCCCTGCGTGGGAACTCTGATTGTCAGTGTCCCAAAAAAAAAAAAGCTGAAAGTTCAGTGTTGCAAATTTTCAAAGCCTGATGCATCAGTGTACCATTTGCAAAAACACTGACTGTATTTCAGTCTCCTACATTTAAAATAAATAGTCACAAGAAGAGTTGCTGCAGTTATAATCTAAGAATCTCTAATAGGGGTCATGCATGCATCATCATCGGAATCAGAGCCATCATCATCATCACCCCCCTGAGCCTTTGGCTCTGCTTCCCACTCCTGTACTGCCTCTGCCTCCTTTCCCCTGCCACTACCCTGCCCCTCTCTTGCTGGAGCTGCTGCCACATTGCCAAAGGGCCGGCGCTTCTTGTAGCTGCGCCAGACCTGCACGATTTCGTTGTAGTCGGGCACGTACTCGAGGAGCGACATCGTGACGAGATCTTCAAGGCGGGCGTCTTTGAGGCTCCCACGCTGCCACGACTTGATGATGTTTTGGCGGGAAAACCCGCGCTCACATTCCACTGTGCTCAGCGGCAGTACGGCGACAGCGACCCAGAGACGCACAAGGTTGGGGTAGCTGGTCGTCCAGTCACTTGTCTTCAGCATCGCAGTGAGGCCGGCATGGAAGCTTCTCTCGGTCTTCGGGGCACCTGCGAGGATGGGGCAAAAGGCTCGCAGCTCTTTGATCGCCCGGCGCTTGTCGATCCCTGCCAGACAAAGCAGATAAGTGATCGTTAGGATGACTGACCAACAGGGCAGAGGCAGACACCAACACAGAACTTTACGTTCAAAATGTTACGCTGAGTACAGCACTGGTGCACAATCAATAAACACGTACCAGGAAGGATGTAGTCTGTCTCCACTGCCCTGAACAGCCTGACGAGTGACATGAGCCACTCGAGACACTGCTTGTGGCGCTCTCCTCTCTCTGGTGGGTACTCATCGGGCATGAACAGCCGGACTCCCACAAGGGAGTCCAAATCTGCAAACCTCTTGGTGAGGTTGCGCACGAGCGCCTCTGCAAACGAGGTGCAGAGATCCACGCAGTTGTAGTGATTTCCCAGCGTTGGGTAGTCCTCGCTCGGGTTCTCGTGCAGTTTGAACGTGTGTTTAGTGGGCCGACCGTCTGAGTCCACTCCTTGCACCGTCACCTCGGGGTTGTCACTGTCCGGCCCGTACTTCATGATGAACGGGGACAGGCGCGCGCTCAACCCGCCCCCAAAATCATCGCCGCAGTCGACGTAGCGGGTCTCTAGGAAGGAGATGGTTCTCCTGATCTGCGCGTGCACACCTGCAATGTCAAGCTATGTTTGGGCGAAAGAAATAACATTGCGGGAAACACGGCAGTCGAGATTGGGGGTGCTTTCTCACACAAATAATGTTTTGTTTGACTGTCAACAATATAACTGCAATGACAAACACACACAGAAGCCACAAATACAATAACAAGACATTAAGACAAGTTAAGCACACACGGAAACGCCAAGTCGCTCACCTCTCGCTGCTGGAAAGACTTGTTCAGGATGTTCAGCTGCTCGAGCACGTCGGCCAGGAAGTACAAGAGGAAGTGAAACCTGTAGCTCGTGGCGAGCTCGTACAGCGTCTCGTCCCACTCGTACAGCATGACGATGATCGCGGGGAAGACGGCCACCAGACGCAAAACAGCGTCACCCCTGGAGAGCCAGCGGACCGTGTGAATCCCCTGAAGCTCCAGGTTCGTGGACGTGAAGAGTTCTTGAAGCTCCATAAAGCGTTGATGCCAGGGGCCGGAACGGCCGAGATGCTCTGCGAGTTGACGGATCAGGCTGTCAACCATGTCGAACTCGGGAAGGGCCCGGGCTGCATGTTTTGCTGCGAGCGCCTCCCTGCAGGCACAAGAAAACCCAAGCGAGCAACACAGGATATTAGCATAGGATGATACAGATGGCGACTCCTGCGTTTTTGTTATCACGGGCGACGACCGTTGGTCGGTTGGCGCAGGCACAGTAGCCCCGTCGACTGCGGCCTTAGGAATGAATGGCAGCGTTGACTGCGTGTATCGGCCGGTTTTCTTGGCCTCTGGTTCAGGAGTGGTATTGTCAGCTGGAGGCGGTGAACTGTCTTGCTCGATGTCTGGCGCTGACGGGGACGCACAGAGCGGCTCCAGATCTATGTGCTCGAACGGTATCTTGTCTGGCGGCTCTAGTTCAGGTTGCCTCTCATTGACGTTGACCTGCGCTAAGCCTGAAAACAACAGGTCGATGCCGGTCACAGCTTCTGTACGGTCTACATGCGGCTGGCGATGCGCAGCACCGGCGTGGTCGCCGTTTCTTTCCGTGCCATCAAGCTGCTCCGCCATGGTAAGCAGCGCGTACGGCCTCGCATCTAACCTAGAGACAACTGCGAAGGCAAGGGATTGCAAGCGCAAAACTCAGGCCTCGGCTGGCTGCCTCCTGGTACACTAGGGTGAACGAGGGAAACCCTAGTTCTGATGCAAAGGTTGGACAAGAAGGGTGGCGGAAACGGTGGGTGGGCTGGGCGGCGTGGAGGCATCATCATCTCACCCCGACTTCAAGAAGGATGGCACGGTGCTTGCCAGCACAGCCCAACCCTAACGCACCGCACATGATGGGTACGGGGCAGGAACCTTGGCAGCCCGCCAGCACCACATGTCTGCCAAGTTAGGACTGGCCAACACTGGATGCTGCAGCGAAACTGCCCAATGGTGTGAGAGGCGACGCGCCAAAAAAACACCAGCCAAAGTGAACCTGAGGCAACATTGGTCCTGCCCCGGGGTGCCCACGTACAGGGAATGTGAGATTCCCTGTAATTGCGGGCGAGGTAACATGGCACAGGTGAGATTCGCTTTCAGTGTCGGTTTCGTTACAACGTAGTGGCATCAGTGTTCCACGGGAAAAAAACCTGGAAAATCAGTGTGGCCAAAAAAAAAAACCTGAAAGATCAGTCCAACAAAAATCCCAACTCTGAAAGTTCAGGGTAGCTTAAAAATCGGCTGCCAAAATCAGGAATTTCAGGGTTTTTTTCCTGATATCTGAGGCCCTGCGTGGGAGCAACAGGCTGGGGAAACAACCTCGGGTGCAGCGTTTCCATCCAGCGCAAGGCAAATCCGCGTGCACAGGTTGGGCATCAATTGTATAACTGCTTTTACGAAACTGCATGACCATCTTAAAATTTGAAGTAGCTCTGACAGTTCAGACAAAAAATTTTGTGCTTGTCTGAATTTTCAGACTAAAATTTTGAGGCACCTCTGATAGACAGAGTATTTTTTGACTAAAATTTTCCCAGATACCATCCCCTTCTCCCAGATTCCATCCCCTTCTCCCTGATTCCATCCCCTTCTCCCAAATTCCATCCCCTTCTCCCAGATTCCATCCCCTTCTCCCAGATTCCATCCCCTTCTCCCAGATTCCATCCCCTTCTGCCAGATTCCATCCCCTTCTCCCTCATTCTATCCCCTTCTCCCAGATTCCATCCCGCCCTCCCAGACTCCATCCCCTTCTCCCGGATTCCATCCCCTTCTCCCAGATTCCATCCCCTTCTCCCTCATTCCATCTCCTTCTCCCAGATTCCACCCCCTTCTTCCAGATTCCATCTCCTTCTCCCAGATTCCATCCCCTTCTCACAAATTCCATCCCCTTCTCCCAGATTCCATCCCCTTCTCCCAGATTCGATCCCCTTCTCCCAGATTCCATCCCCTTCTCCCAGATTCCATCCCCTTCTCCCATATTCCATCCCCTTCTCCCAGATTCCATCCCCTTCCCCCGGATTCCATCCCCTTCTTCCAGATTCCATCCCCTTCTCCCAGATTCCATCCCCTTCTCCCAAATTCCATCCCCTTCTCCCAGATTCCATCCCCTTCTCCCAGATTCCATCCCCTTCTCTTCCAGGAGGGGTGTACTCTGAGGCCTCAGACTACCTCAAAACGAATCTAGGGGCCTGCTTCAAAGCTAAACCCATTAGCTTCTGGAACATTATGGTAGTTGTTAGAATATCACAAGCATGAATATTTTGGTTAGTGTTAAGGAAAGAAAGACGGTACAAACAACCAGCAAGTGTGTTGGGATGAGCTACACACCCCAACAAGGGGCAATCACCTAAGGCTCCACACCACAGGATCTGTATGGGTCCGACTAACGACAGAAGCAAGGAGTGTTGTGCTGTGAGTAGGTCAGATCAAGTGATGCACACACACAGCACCATCGGTTCATCCTTTTCAGGTCTTCATTCTCCTCTTGCTACTGCCTGACCTGCCCTCCGACTTGATCTCCAGTGCCTGCTCTTCGAAGTCTGCTGCTCTGAAGATGTGAACCTGCATTTCACAAGAGGATGGGCACGAAAGAGACTTTGAGGATGGGCACGAAAGAGACTTTGAGGATGGGCACGAAAGAGACTTTGAGTCGACTAACTAGTTACCTGCCCGCAGCCTCTCTCTGACTCTCAGGTGTATTCCTATCAAGCGCAAGATCCCTGTGCTATGCCTTGATGCAAGAGCCAACTAAGTACTCAACCCTTTTCCCCACCCTTTTTCATACCCAAACACCTCCCAACAACCCCCCCTTCCTCTCCAATTATTATTTCAACCCCATCATACCTTGAGTGTTTGTGAGTCCATCTTCTTCAACACCACAGCATCGCCCGCATTTTTGAGAGCTTCCAAAGGCGATGATCCAGAGCAAACCCCCGCTTCACCCCATCACACCCCAACCCAACCTTGAATGTATCCACCTGCACCGCACCGCACTGCACCGCATTGCACGGCACTGCACTGCATTGCACGGCACTGCACTGCACGGCACTGCACGGCACCCACATGCTTGAATACCTAAGTGTGTGCAGGTCCATCTTCTCAAACACCACAGAATCGCCCGCATCGAGTTCCTGATCCAAAAAAACCCCCCTCCATCCCCATCACACCCCAACCCAACCCTGCCTGACCTCGAACATATCCACGCACTGCACCGCACTGCAATGCACGGCACTGCACGGCACCCACATGCTTGCATACCTTGAGTGTGTGCGGGTCCATCTTCTCAAACACCACGGCATCACCCGCATCCAGCTCCTGATCCAAAGCAAACCCCCGCCACCCGCCACTCAACCCTGTCTTGTGCGGCAGGTATGTGGCTCGCCACTCGCCCTCCCCAACCGCATACACCCCCCCCATCACCGCCCTCCTCTCCCCCAGCAGCTGCTGAAACTCCCCCTCCTCCGAACCCCCCTCCTGCGGCTCCTGCTTTCCACTCCTCGCCTGTTTTCGATCTGCTTTCACATCTGTCTTCTTTCCCTCCCCATCCCCGTCTCCCTTTCCTCCGGTGCTGTCTTTTGAATCGCCGCCAGTGCCTTGAGAGAACTCAGCTGCTGCACTGCTGCTCTTGGAATCAGGGGAATTTTGAGTCGACTCAAAAGTCACCTCGCTGGTGGCCTGAGAGGGATTGGCTTCAATGCTATCCTTGGAATCTGTAGTGCCTTGTGGCGGGTCGACTTTGAGAGTGAGAGTGGCAATGCTGCGAGGGAGGTGTGCCGTGCAGAAGCTTCTGTTCAGGCCCTGCCGATGGGGAGGCAAGGGGAGAGGAAGAATGGAGGAAGAATGAGGAAAGGGGACAGTGGAGAGTGAAGTGGAAAGTGATGATTTCGACCTACAAAAGAGGTTAAGAACAGAGATGCTTCCACCATATGAGTGGTGCGGTCTGCTTAATGCAATTAGTCTGAGCTGCACAGCGGGATTGTGACAGTTGAATCGTTTAGCCTCGAGGTACAATCGTGTGCTGCTTGTTTGCTTCTGTGTGCGGTTGGTTTTTCAAGCCGTGTGAATATACGATGCTTCTTGGCCCTGTTAGACCCATTTTAAGGGATGTTGTGACTTCAAAATGTGTGAGTACGTGGTGATTTGTTTGTTTGTTTGTTTCTTTTTGTTTGCCTTCGTAAACAAGAAAAAGGTGAGAGTGCCAGTAGGGTATAAACAAGAAATCATGAGATAAGGAAAAACAAGCAGTCAAACTGAGGACTGCAACAGAAGACAACAAGTGAGAGAGAAAAAACCAAACAAAACAAAGCGACAAGTGATAAATGACACAAGGAGGCAAACGAAGGAGATACAACAACAGAGAGAGATGGACAAGCGAGAAGTCGCCTGACATTTGAGACGGCAGGACACGTCGAGAGCAGGGTCTTTTTGAGACGCCTCGGAAACCGGGGCACGTTTGTGACGGCCACGGAAGAAAGAAGTGATAACGAGAACAACGAAGCCACGGAAGGTGTCAAGAAGATGGAGGGATGGAGGGAGATGGAGGGAGATGGAGGGAGATGGAGGGAGACGGAGGGAGATGGAGGGCGATGGAGGGCGATGAAGGGCGATGGAGGGCGATGGAGGGCGATGGAGGGCGATGGAGGGACACGGACCAGCCAGAAACCGCCGGACATCTGAGACGGATGGATGTGCTTGCACATGCACGGGGAGGGCAGGGCGTCCATGAGCCTGCCTGCCGCCCTCAGAGCCGCCTCCTGCGCCTCTGCAGATGTCACCTGCCTCGGTTGAGAGGAGTTTGCACCACTGCTTGCTCGCACCTTGCTGTGTGGGGTAGGTTAAACCATGTGGGACAGACACGCGCACGCACGGAATCAGAGCCGCCTCCTGAGAATGAGGAAAGTGAAGAGGGGGACCCTGCCTTTAACCCTGAAAGCGAGGGGATGTTAGAAGCAGAGGCCGAGGAGGACGAGGAAGAGTTGGAGCTGCTGCGGGAAGCGGAGCTCCCAAACCAGCAGGCCAGAGGTGAACCTGCAAACCGAACCTCAGTTCAGAATCGAACCGCGGGGGGAATTCAAGCAAGGAGGGGAAATCGAGCCACTCCAGAAGAAAGAATTGACTCTGCAACAGCCAATGAAAATTCCGCAGCCCCGAGTCCAACCCCCCCGATGCTCAAACCTGACGACCTGGCGAAAAACTCTGAGCTATTCGCTCAGGTTGCAGTCTGGGACCTCGACCCGCTGCGTGACAGTCGCCAACCTCCTCTCGCTCGCCACCCCCCCAAAGACCTTCGCGACTCCTTCGCGATCTGTATGTTGACGCCGTTACTCCACCTGGCGGCCAATCCCGAGTCTGCGCCAGGATGGAAACTACTGACCTTTCTCCCGCGCATACTCCTTCGCACCTCGTCAGCCCGTAAGCCTGACTGGAGCGCGATGATGAATCGGCTCCTGCGATTTCGCCAAGGGCTCTGGGCGGACCTATACGAAGAAGCTGTCCAGGCGATTTCCTTGCCTCCGCAGCCTCGCCACTCACTCGACACAACTGGAATACTGGCACGGGCGGAAGGTCTGGCAAAACGGGGTAACCTGTCAAAATCACTCCAATCCCTCCAGGCCACCCCTGTGTCACCTGCCTCACCTGAAGTGCTGGAAGCCCTCGCGACGAGACATCCACCTGCCAGCCAGCTTCTCCCTGACTGGCTCCACACCGCCTCGGCTGAAGACCCACCCACTATCGAAGCCCGCGACTTCAGGCGCCTCCTCGCCAAGCTCCCCAACGGAGTCGGGGCCGGCCCCTCAGGAACCACTTTCGAGCATATCCGCGACGCAGCCCTAGGGAATGCCGAAGTACTCTCCCACCTCCTCGCCCTCTCCAACACAGCTCTAGCAGGGAAACTCCCAACAGCCGCGGGGGATCTTCTCACGGCCTCCCGCCTGCTAGCCTTTACGAAACCCCAAGGAGGGACGCGGCCAATAGCGGTGGGGGAGTGTCTCCTCCGGATTATAGCAAAGGCCGCCCTAATCCTGACCGCGCCAGCCGCCCGTACTCACCTTGCCCCCCTTCAATTCGGCGTGGCAGTAGCAGGGGGGATCGAAGCGGCTATCCACACCGCTCGCACGTACCTGGAAGTGCACCCTGCTGCAGTGGCCTTGCAGATCGACCTCGCGAACGCTTTTAACGCGGTCGAAAGGAGAGCGGTGTTCGAAGGACTGAGAAACGAGGCGCTGAAGAAGCTGATCCCCCTCGTCCGCCTATCCTACGGGGCTCCCTCCTCGCTCTACCTCGACCACGACTTCGGCGCAGCCCCGCTGCAGAGCGCCAGAGGAGTTCGCCAAGGGGACCCGCTCGGCCCCCTCCTGTTCGCGGCAAGCATCCACCCGTGCCTCATTGCCATGGCGGCGGCACACCCTCAGGTGGTCCTGCTGGCGTACGCCGATGACATCACGCTGCTCGGCGACGCCTCGGCCTGCACAACAGCTTTCGACCACCTCACATCCGCACTTGCCGCCCTCGGCCTGGTACACAACCCGGCCAAATGCGTGGCGTGGTCCGCCGCTCCAATCGACCCCTCTGCAGTGCCTCCGGGAATTACTATCTCTGATGAGGGGCTGCAGATTCTCGGCAGCCCGGTTGGCACACCCCGGGGGTGCGCGGGCGCCGTGAGAGAGAGACTGGCAGTAGCAGCATCCCAACATCACGCTGCTCGGCGACGCCTCGGCCTGCACAGCAGCTTTCGACCACCTCACATCCGCACTTGCCGCCCTCGGCCTGGTACACAACCCGGCCAAATGCGCGGCGTGGTCCGCCGCTCCAATCGACCCCTCTGCAGTGCCTCCGGGAATTACTATCTCTGATGAGGGGCTGCAGATTCTCGGCAGCCCGGTTGGCACACCCCGGGGGTGCGCGGGCGCCGTGAGAGAGAGACTGGCAGTAGCAGCATCCCCACTCCCCCTGCTGGCCCAGATGGACCCCCAGCTTAGCCTCCTCCTCCTCACCCGCTGTGTCAGCCGCCGAGCCTCTTTTCTGGCCAGAACCACCCCCCTGGAAGCTCTCCCTGAAGCGGAATGGTCAGCTTGGGGGGAGCAGCTCCTACACACCTTCCTGGACTCGGCCCACATCATGAGACCGAGGAGTGCCCGGGAGAGGCGGAGGATTTGGCGGCAGGCGGCCCTGCCCGTGACTCTGGGAGGCCTGGGCATCACTGACCCCGCCGTTGAAGGCAGCTACGCTTACCTCGCTTCAGTGATCAGCGCCGCCCACCTTCTATACTCCCTGGAGGAGTCGTTACACCCTGCTGTCGCCGCGCTCCTCCCCCTACTGGACCCTACCCACGGCTCCCCGCACGCGCTGCCTGCACGCCTCGCCGCGGCTGAGGCAGCTCTCCCACCCGAGGCTCTCGAGGTGCTCCAGGCCGGGAAGACAGACCCCAAGGGACTGAAGCTACAGCAGAGCCTAGCGCTGGCGGTTCACTCCCGCCGCTTCTTGAGGGCCATGCGCGAGGCAAGGCGGATGCGCCCCAACCCCCTTTCAGGCCATGCGCAACGGATGCAGTCGGTGCTAGGCCCAGGAGCGGGGGATTGGCTGCTGGCGATCCCGCTCATCCCCTCGCTCCGAATGGGCCCCTCCCAGCTCTCAACTGCAGCGGCCTTCCGCCTAGGCCTCCCCCTCCCAGTGCCTAGACGCTGTGACTGCCGCTACCGCACCACCTTCCCCGACGACCGCCTCCCCAACCACCTCATGCGCTGCGAGAAGGGGAAAGGGAGGACCGCTACCCATCACGCTCTGCGGGATGAGATAGCAAATATCGGGGCTGAGGCGGGTTTTACGGTTCATAAGGAGACGTATGTCTACTCACTGGTTGAAAACCTAAAGGCGGATGTCACCATCCGTCATCCACTGACCGGGGAGGTTTGGATGTGCGACGTGACCGTGACGGACCCGATGTCATACCAGGACGAGAACTGCAACCGAGCTCCTGGTTGGGCAGCTAGGGCGGCAGCGGCAAAAAAGGAGGAGAAGTACACACGGCGGAACACGTGGGTGGGGTTCCACGCGCTCGCAGTGGAAACATACGGCTACCCCTCGCCGGGGGTGCTGGCTTACCTGCGGCAATGCGCGGAGCTGGCGGCAAAGCTGCGGTTTAACGCAGCCCCTACCTCCTACGAAGCAGCGAAGCTTCTGACGGAGTACCGCCAGCGTTGGAGCGTGTGCCTCCAGCGGGCACAGGCCAACGCCCTCCGCACCAAGACCAATGAGGCCTTGGCGGCGGACGAGCTCGGTTTTAGAGGACCCATCATCCCTCTCAGTGAGGGACAGCTGCACCAGTTGATTGAGGCCCCGTTCGACCAGTAGGGCCGGACAGGGGGGGGGGCAGAGTAGGTAGGGGACTTGGAATAGTTAGGATGCCGGTTTTCTGTTGAGCTTGTGCTTGTGTGTTTTGCACCTTCCGTTGTACCACCCCCCAAAGAAATGCAAGGACCATTCGAGAGAGAGAGAGAGAGAGAGAGAGAGAGAGAGAGAGAGAGAGAGAGAGAGAGAGAGAGAGAGAGAGAGAGAGAGAGAGAGAGAAAAGAAATGACAGAAGAAACCAAGCAAGGAAGAAAGAGAGAACCAAAGATGGCCAGCGCAACACATTTGAAGGCAAAAGCCAAATGAAGGAACAAAAAGAATTGAGGAAAGAAAAATAAAAGACAAAGAAAAGACCAAAAGAAAGAAACGAAGAGCCCGTGAAAGGAATGTTAAGGAAAAAGCAAAGGTGAAAAAGGAGGAGATATCAAGCAGAGTAAAACAGAGGAAAAACATCTAACCAAGTAACGGCATGCCACATGCACTGGTTTGATTAACCAGACAAATATTTAAACATAATTTTGTAGCATCACATATCATCATTCCCACAAGCGAAATTGGTCATCAAATCCGTTAACATGTTTACGTTCCAGCTCAAGATTTCACACGTATGACCAAACAAATGTTTCTTCTTGCACATTTCCTTGCATGTATTACAGTATTAAAGTATAAGGGCTTCGTGAGCATGCCTTTTCCTCCGTACACGTCTCACCACTGTGTTGTGTTTAGCAGAGGCAATGACGCAGCAGGTATATTATGGTGCGTCATATTGAAACATGTGATATCAGGCAGGAGGGGGTGCACACACACTCCGTGCAGGCTTCACCACTGTATTGTGTCCTCGTCACTCATGGCGGAAGGGCAGCAGTACTAGAGAAAAGCTTTAGCAAGTAAGGAGAGAGTAAAGAATTCCCTAGCTAAGAGGACTCTGGTCATGCAGGCTTCACCACTGCATTGTGTTTCACGGAGATGATGACAAAGTGGGTACCTCGTGGCGTATTGCAACATGTGGCTAGCAGGCAGAGAAGGTGCTCTGCACCCGTCTGTTCTGTAGCAGCCTTCTACACATGTACTAATGCCTTTCCGCTCCGCAAGCCTGCCTGACACTCACCAGCCAGAAGCAGCCGTGCCCGCACGTGCATCACAAATAGTCTCCTCCACTAAAGCAAACCACCAACCCAACACTCACCACCTGTGAGGCACATGCAAAGCACTTCAAAGCACTCATAGCACTTGGCTGGAGTAAACATGCATAACTGCCGTGTCGTGTCTTGATACCCCACTAGCCTGCCAGCCTAATGGCCCACCACCCACCCACCCACCCACCCACCCACCCACCCACCCACCCACCCACCCACCCACCCACCCACCCACCCACCCACCCACCCACCCACCCAACCAGCCACCCAACCAGCGCTCACCAGCCAGAAGCACCCGTGCACATGAGATCGCACCATCGCCACTCCTTCCCTTGCCTTCAAACTGCAGTAGCCCGCTAACGCACCACAGCACAACCCACCCACACACTCACCCACCCACCAACCCACCCAGGCCAACGCTTACCAGCCAGAAGCACCCGTGCACGTGAGATCGCACCATCGCCTTCACACTCACACAAGGGAGCATACTATTGGAGTGGTGGATGTGGTACTATTACTACTAGCCAACAATCCATCTACCTTCAACCCAGCGCTCACCAGCCAGAAGCACCCATGCACGTGAGATCGCACCATTGCCTTCACCATCGCCTCCCCTTTCCCCTTTCCCCTCCCCCTCTCTCTCCCCTCAGACTCCTTCTCCGTCTCCTCTCCTTGCCGCACAGCGGACCCTCCCGCCTTCAGAGCGTCAACCAGTGAGAGGGCTGCTCTCAGTGCCCTCTCCTCTGCCTCTGGTGAGGCCGGCACGCGGCGGTGGTACTCGGCCTCCCGGCTCACACGGCAGCCCGCTTGCCTGCGCATGGCAAATGCAGCAGGTGGGAGAAAAAGCATTGGCTTAAGCGCTTCAACCAGCCAGGGAGACGGCTGCTCGCAGCGCCTCTCCTCTGAATCTGGTGAGGCCGGTACGCGGCGGCTGTATTCGCCTTGCGGCTCACACGACCCGCTTGCCTGCGCACCGTAATTGCAGCAGGTGGGTAGAAAAGCGTTGGCTTTCAATACATGCATCACTTGAATCTCACTACAACACTCCGCCTCCCAGCTCACACGACCCGCTTGCCTGCGCACCGTAATTGCAGCAGGTGGGTAGAAAAGCGTTGGCTTTCAATACATGCATCACTTGAATCTCACTACAACACTCCGCCTCCCAGCTCACACGACCCGCTTGCCTGCGCACCGTAATTGCAGCAGGTGGGTAGAAAAGCGTTGGCTTTCAATACATGCATCACTTGAATCTCACTACAACACTCCACCTCCCAGCTCACACGACCCGCTTGCCTGCGCACCATAATTGCAGCAGGTGGTAAATCTTGTTCGCATTTGAGGCGTCTCAAAAGTAGACCCCTTCTGGTTCACACGCACCCCTTGCCCCATGCCGCACTGTAGGGGCGGATGGGAATACATTCGCTTCAAGACGTCTCAAAAGTGTCTTCCCCCTTTCAGCGCATGCACATGGCTCACGTGTCTGCGCACGTCAATTGCAGCAGGTGGGTGGCGGCGGGAAGCTATGCTTTCAAGATACTCATCACTTGACTCTCTCAATATCCCGCCTCTTGGCTCACACGTACCACTTGCCTGCATGCCACATTCAAGTTGGGCAAGCAATGGCATTTAAAATTATTCAGTTCAGCAGCACTCCCCTCCCAGCTTGCATGGCTCGCTTGCCACTGCACCGCAATGAGAGGCGGGCCGTGGAGAGGAGTAGTTGTTGCATTACTGCAATGAAGGTGTTGCCCTCAAGAGACGAACAACAGCTGCTATACGCTTGCGTTGACTTAATTTGACCTCACTTGACTTGCCTCGATTGTGAGCAACGTCAGCCAGAAGAATGTAGACGTAGGTGTGTGTACACACCACTGAAGCGTATCGCTCGCAGACCGTTCGGTACTGGAGTTGAGACATGAGCACGAGCTGGGGATGAGCCTGCCTCGTTTCAAATGATTTTCTTTAGGTCGACTGCAGTTCGATCCTAGTCGATAGGAGGTGATTGATTGATTGCGTCGGAACCCCAACCTGAAAGTCTCCTCAGTTGAGCTGGTCGACCCGCTGCTCAGATGGTCGACCCGCTGCTCAGATGGTCGACCCGCTGCTCAGATGGTCGACCCGCTGCTCAGATGGTCGACCCGCTGCTCAGATGGTCGACCCGCTGCTCAGATGGTCGACCCGCTGCTCAGATGGTCGACCCGCTGCTCAGATGGTCGACCCGCTGCTCAGATGGTCGACCCGCTGCTCAGATGGTCGACCCGCTGCTCAGATGGTCGACCCGCTGCTCAGATGGTCGACCCGCTGCTCAGATGGTCGACCCGCTGCTCAGATGGTCGACCCGCTGCTCAGATGGTCGACCCGCTGCTCAGATGGTCGACCCGCTGCTCAGATGGTCGACCCGCCTGCTCAGATGGTCGACCCGCTGCTCAGATGGTCGACCCGCTGCTCAGATGGTCGACCCGCTGCTCAGATGGTCGACCCGCTGCTCAGATGGTCGACCCGCTGCTCAGATGGTCGACCCGCTGCTCAGATGGTCGACCCGCTGCTCAGATGGTCGACCCGCTGCTCAGATGGTCGACCCGCTGCTCAGATGGTCGACCCGCTGCTCAGATGGTCGACCCGCTGCTCAGATGGTCGACCCGCTGCTCAGATGGTCGACCCGCTGCTCAGATGGTCGACCCGCTGCTCAGATGGTCGACCCGCTGCTCAGATGGTCGACCCGCTGCTCAGATGGTCGACCCGCTGCTCAGATGGTCGACCCGCTGCTCAGATGGTCGACCCGCTGCTCAGATGGTCGACCCGCTGCTCAGATGGTCGACCCGCTGCTCAGATGGTCGACCCGCTGCTCAGATGGTCGACCCGCTGCTCAGATGGTCGACCCGCTGCTCAGATGGTCGACCCGCTGCTCAGATGGTCGACCCGCTGCTCAGATGGTCGACCCGCTGCTCAGATGGTCGACCCGCTGCTCAGATGGTCGACCCGCTGCTCAGATGGTCGACCCGCTGCTCAGATGGTCGACCCGCTGCTCAGATGGTCGACCCGCTGCTCAGATGGTCGACCCGCTGCTCAGATGGTCGACCCGCTGCTCAGATGGTCGACCCGCTGCTCAGATGGTCGACCCGCTGCTCAGATGGTCGACCCGCTGCTCAGATGGTCGACCCGCTGCTCAGATGGTCGACCCGCTGCTCAGATGGTCGACCCGCTGCTCAGATGGTCGACCCGCTGCTCAGATGGTCGACCCGCTGCTCAGATGGTCGACCCGCTGCTCAGATGGTCGACCCGCTGCTCAGATGGTCGACCCGCTGCTCAGATGGTCGACCCGCTGCTCAGATGGTCGACCCGCTGCTCAGATGGTCGACCCGCTGCTCAGATGGTCGACCCGCTGCTCAGATGGTCGACCCGCTGCTCAGATGGTCGACCCGCTGCTCAGATGGTCGACCCGCTGCTCAGATGGTCGACCCGCTGCTCAGATGGTCGACCCGCTGCTCAGATAGTCGACCCGCTGCTCAGATGGTCGACCCGCTGCTCAGATGGTCGACCCGCTGCTCAGATGGTCGACCCGCTGCTCAGATAGTCGACCCGCTGCTCAGATGGTCGACCCGCTGCTCAGATGGTCGACCCGCTGCTCAGATGGTCGACCCGCTGCTCAGATGGTCGACCCGCTGCTCAGATGGTCGACCCGCTGCTCAGATGGTCGACCCGCTGCTCAGATGGTCGACCCGCTGCTCAGATGGTCGACCCGCTGCTCAGATGGTCGACCCGCTGCTCAGATGGTCGACCCGCTGCTCAAATGGTCGACCCGCTGCTCAGATGGTCGACCCGCTGCTCAGATGGTCGACCCGCTGCTCAGATGGTCGACCCGCTGCTCAGATGGTCGACCCGCTGCTCAGATGGTCGACCCGCTGCTCAGATGGTCGACCTGGGGCTTGGCTCGAATCGAATCAGAGTTTGGTCAGTGTGTTGTGTCCTGCTGTTTGTTAAAAGTACTGCTACCATACGCTTAAGCCAGACCTAAAACTCAAATGCACGCAATTCGAGTGCGCTGGAGTTGGAGGCCTCGTGCGTGCCCTACATCCTAGGTTTTGTCCTAGTCATTAACGCTCCATACCATAGTACACAGAGTATATTGTTTCAGATTTCTATTGCAAGAATAATCAAGACAGAAGACAGGATAACTGCAAGGTTTTAGATGCGGAAGCGATAGGTAAAAGTGGAACAAAAGAAACGAGGAAAACAAAAGAAAGAAAGAAAGAAAGATAAAATGAAAGAACGGAAGAAAGAAAGAAAGTAAGAAAGAAAGATAATTATAATAATGATGATAAGGAAGGATGAAGAGGAATAAAGAGGAAACAGAAACTGCTCGAGCTCTTGGTATTCTACAATTGAACAAAAACGGCTGGTCGGCAGCGTCGAGCCCGATCAAAGGCTCCAATTCGAATCTACGTGTTCGTCCAGCGGCCCTCGGCTCAACTTTCTGCCTACCAGCCGCCCTAGGCTCGACTCTGCCTACCAACCGCCCTGGGCTCGACTCTGCCTACCAACTACCCTCGGCTCAACAAATTTGTTGAGTCAAGCCAACACTGCAATTCGAGTGTGACTCCTCCAGCCGGATCGACTAGGCTCAAATCGATCTGAGATCCTGAACATTTTAAGGCTCTACTCAGGTCGAGACGAGCCGAGACAAAACTGGCCATGTTGCCCATGTCTATTGAATGAAGAAGTGTTTTGAGACGTCCCAAAACAACTTCTTCATACACGTAGCCAAAACTGGCCATCCTGCCCATGTCTATTGAATTTATATTGTCCCTTGCACACATGACATGCCAGGCTCCCTTTGAGTCGACTCAAAAGTCCAACGTGGGCATGCTTTTCATGTCTACCACATGTGACACATGACATGCTCCTCATGGTGCATACCACGGTTTTTTTTTTTAGTTAGAGGTTCGCAAACTTGCAGTTACAAGACTCACCTTGAACGAGCCATTGGCTTGACTTCAACCTGTGAAGGATGCAGCAGGAGGCAGGAGAAAGCAGAAATGGAGAAAAGGATGGGTGTAATGCAATGCAAGGGTTGCATTGCGTGTGTCGATTACTGAACATTTGTTTGGAAAAGGAGAATCGTCATCACACATGTTGCCTGCAAGGAATATGGAAACAAAGCTCTTGCAAGATTCTAGCTCAACACTCGCACGACAGAGTCTGAGACCACCTCGTGCCACCCACCCGGTACACTGCTGCAGTATTTAAGTCATGCACTAAAGATTGACGCATCACAGCCTCACATTGTTAGAGATTACCACTCATTCTACTCCCTACCACCTCAGCTTGTACACCTTGGAACAACTACACCTGTCAAAGCACAAAGAGGATTGACCCAGAACAACCACATTGGTCAGAAGTGTGCTGACGCCCCTTGCTCTCTTGAAACTCCTCACAACACACTTGGCATCTCCTGTGGTGACTGTGCCTTGACGCATAACCCGCTTCTCCACATTCCTGCTCACCTCCTCAGCATATCTCGTCTCGGTCGTGTCGTGTCGTGCCCCCTTGGCTACCATACGAGGAGACATGCGCTGTGGCAGCGTTACTGGCATCCCAGCGGCACTGCTATCCCACATGGTTGCGCCTTGTGCCTTACCCATTCCCCCCTTTACTCTCACCCTCCGGTTCCATCCACCCCCCTTCCGTTGCCATCCACCTACCTCCTCAACGTATCTTGGTCGTTCCCCCTTGGCCGCCATGCGAGCTGACTTGCGTTGTGGCAGCAGCAGCTCCCGCTGCCTCGGTGCCCTCCTCACCTCGCTGCGCGGGGTCTGGCGCGGTGGGGAGGGTTGAGGAGGGGTGCGAATGGGGTGCGGATGGGGTGCGGATGGGGTGCAGATGGGGTGCGGATGGGAGGGAGGGAGGGAGACGGAGGGAGGGAGGGAGGGAGGGAGGGAGGGAGGGAGGGAGGGAGGGAGGGAGGGAGGGAGGGAGGGAGGGAGGGAGGGAGGGAGGGAGGGAGGGAGGGAGGGAGGGAAATAGGGAGGGAAGGAGGGAGGAGATTGAGTTTCAATAGAGTTGATTTGACCAACATATTGAACCGGGTGGCTGGTCTTGTCCCTAATGGTGCGAGCAACTAATCAACAATATTGACACATTCACCAGCGATTGACCTACCCACCAGCGATTGACATTTTCGTCTCTCGAATTCTAACCACAGTGTTCCTCCGAAGCTGAGTGTCAACTCAAGGGAGCGGGAAGGCACTCACAGCGGGCTTGCTCTCCTGCGAGGCGGACAGATCCCTCGATGCCTCCAGTATGCCCAGCTCCTGATGGCCGCAGAGAGGGGTTGGGAGGGGTGGAAGGCGGTTGGAGGTGGCGGGAGGGATGCGAGGGGTGGGTGGTAGTGATGGGAGGGAGGGAGGGAGGTGCGGATGAGAGAGGAAGAGAAGGAGGCAGCGAGCAAAGAGCACAAGAGGACAGCTCTCTTAAAGCCTCCTACAGTATGACCAGCTCCTGATGGGCACAGGGAGGTGAGGGAGGGGTTGGAGGGAGGGGTGGGAGGGGTGGGAGGGGTGGGAGGGGTGGGAGGAGTGGGAGGTGGTGGGGGGTGGAGGTGGTGGGGGTGGAGGGATGGGTGGGAGGGGTGGGAGGGGTGGGAGGTGGTGGGGGTTGGGAGGGGTGGGAGGGGGTGAAGAGAGAGGGAGAGAAGGAAGGCACAGAAGCGGAAGGAGAGGCACAGACTACTACCGACACACTGAGCACGTGGTGTTCTGCGCCCTGGCCGTCGAGACCTATGGGGCAAACGCGCCCCCCACGACGGCGTTCCTGAAACTGCTGGCCACAGCAGCAGCTAGGAACCGCTTCAGGGCCAGCCCCTTGGCGAAATCCGCCAAGAAGATGGCCTGCCACTTCAGCCAGCGCTGGTCAGTGGCCCTCCAGCGCTCCCAGGCGAACGCCCTGCACACCAAGGCCAGGGCTGGGATTGAGGCAGCACACCCCCAGATGGCAGCGGACCCCTGGTCGCTGCACCTGGGGGACATCCTCCACACGCTGGAGGGCTAGAGGGTCACTCAGGGGGGAGGGGAGGGGAAGAGGGGTGAGTTGATGGGCTTATGGGATTGAGGTTATCATGGATAGAACTGCATGTCTGTACCCCTGCTGAATTAATACAACGGACCATTTGAGAGAAGGAAGCAGCAAGCAAAGGCCGCGAGAGGCTTGGTCACTTGAGGCGTGCAGTATGTCCAGCTCCTGATGGCCGCAGGCAGGCAGGGAGAAGTTGGGGGGGGATGGGAAGGGTGGGAGGGGCTGGAGGTGGGAGTGAGCTGAGCAGGTGTTGTGAGAGGGGGGGGAGAAAGGGCGAAGACAAAGGATTTCTCGCTCGGGGCTTGATCAATGCCTGACACCCGACGCCTGGAGGTATATGTGAAAGGGTTGGGAGTGGCGGGAGGGGTGGGAGGGGTGAGAACACGAAATGAGCGAAAAGAGGAAGGGGAAAGCACATAGAAGCCCGGCACAGGCTTAGGCGCCTGAAGCGTCCTCCATTCCCCCCCCAGCAGCACGGGATGGAAACACAAGGAGGGAGAAACAGAAGGAGAGGTGGCAGGGGGAGGGGTAAGGGGAAAGGGGACAGGAAAAAGTGCGAGGCGAGGTATGCGGAGGAGAAGGGAGAAGAATTTGAGGCATTTCGAAAGCAGGAGAGGCGCCAGGGAAAAGGGAGCGGGCGAGGTGGAGGCGGGGCACAGGCTTTGTGGCTTGAGGATTCCAGGTCGGTCAAGGGGAGGGAAAAGCAGGAGGCGAAATGGGAGAAAAGGGAGAGGGCGAGGTGGAGGAGGGGCACACACTTAGATGCTCGAGGCTTCCAGCTCGGTAAAAAGGGGAGGGGAAGGAGGAAAGCGCGCGGTATGAGGGGCAGAAAAGGGAAAGAGGAAAGGGGAAAGCGCACAGTATGAGAGGCAGAAAAGGGAAAGAGGAGAGGGGAAAGCACGCAGTGTGAGGGGCAGAAAAGGGAAAGAGGAAAGGGGAAAGCGCGCGGTAAGAGGGGCAGAAAAGGGAAAACGGAAAGGGGAAAGCGTGCGGTATGAGGGACAGAAAAGGGAAAGAGGAAAGGGGAAAGTGCGCAGTATGAGGGGCAGAAAAGGGAAAGAGGAAAGGGGAAAGCGCGCGGTATGAGGGGCAGAAAAGGGAAAGAGGAAAGGGGAAAGCGCGCGGTATGAGGGGCAGAAAAGGGAAAGAGGAAAGGGGAAAGCGCGCGGTATGAGGGGCAGAAAAGGGAAAGAGGAAAGGGAAAAGCGCGCGGTATGACGGGCAGAGAAGGAAAAGAGGAAAGGGGAAAGCATGCGGTATGAGGGACAGAAAAGGGAAAGAGGAAACGGGAAAGCGCGCGGTATGAGGGGCAGAAAAGGGAAAGAGGAAAGGGGAAAGCGCGCGGTATGAGGGGCAGAGAAGGGAAAGAGGAAAGGGAAAAGCGCGCGGTATGAGGGGCAGAGAAGGGAAAGAGGAAAGGGAAAAGCGCGCGGTATGAGGGGCAGAAAAGGGAAAGAGGAAAGGGGAAAGCGCGCAGTATGAGGGGCAGAAAAGGGAAAGAGGAAAGGGGAAAGCGCGCGGTATGAGGGGCAGAAAAGGGAAAGAGGAAAGGGGAAAGCGGCGCGCGGTATGAGGGGCAGAAAAGGGAAAACGAAAAGGGGAAAGCGCGAGGTATGGGGGGCAGAAAAGGGAAAGAGGAAAGGGGAAAGCGTGCGGTATGAGGGGCAGAAAAGGGAAAGAGGAAACGGGAAAGCGCGCGGTATGAGGGGCAGAAAACGGAAAGAGGAAAGCGGAAAGCGCGCGGTATGAGGGGCAGAAAAGGGAAAGAGGAAAGGGGAAAGCGCGCGGTATGAGGGGCAGAAAAGGGAAAGAGGAAAGGGGAAAGCGCGCGGTATGAGGGGCAGAAAAGGGAAAGAGGAAAGGGGAAAGCACGCAGTATGAGGGGCAGAAAAGGGAAAGAGGAAAGGGAAAAGCGAGCGCCCGGTATGAGGGGCAGAAAAGGGAAAGAGGAAAGGGGAAAGCGCGCAGTATGAGGGGCAGAAAACGGAAAGAGGAAAGGGGAAAGCGTGCGGTATGAGGGGCAGAAAAGGGAAAGAGGAAAGGGAAAAGCGCGCGCGTGGTATGAGGGGCAGAAAAGGGAAAGAGGAAAGGGGAAAGCGGCGCGCGGTATGAGGGGCAGAAAAGGGAAAACGGAAAGGGGAAAGCACGAGGTATGGGGGGGCAGAAAAGGGAAAGAGGAAAGGGGAAAGCGTGCGGTATGAGGGACAGAAAAGGGAAAGAGGAAACGGGAAAGCGCGCGGTATGAGGGGCAGAAAAGGGAAAGAGGAAAGGGGAAAGCGCGCGGTATGAGGGGCAGAAAAGGGAAAGAGGAAAGGGAAAAGCACGCGGTATGAGGGGCAGAAAAGGGAAAGAGGAAAGGGGAAAGCGCGCGGTATGAGGGGCAGAAAAGGGGAAGAGGAAAGGGGAAAGCGCGCGGTATGAGGGGCAGAAAAGGGAAAGAGGAAAGGGGAAAGCGCGCGGTATGAGGGGCAGAAAAGGGAAAGAGGAAAGGGAAAAGCGCGCGGTATGAGGGGCAGAAAAGGGAACGGACGAGGTGGAAGCCCTGCACCGGCTCGGTCGCTCTGGAGGCCTCCAGGATTCACAGCAGCACGGATGGCAGCGAGGAGGGAGGAAAGGCGGGCGGGGAAGGGGAAAGAGTGAGGTAACGTGGGCAGAAGGGAGAAACGTTGGTCTCTAGGCGGGTACGGCAACGGGTACCCCCATGCTTCCAGTCGTGTGAGAAGGGTGTCTTGGTGAGCGCGCGTGTGACGCGCCATCGCAAGGCGCCATTTGCGAGGCGCCATTTTTCGAGGCGCCATTTTGCGAGGCGCCAGTACGGGGCAGCACAGCACGATGCGTCCGACTCAAACGCCTCACACGCGTCCCATCATGGGTCATCACGAGTGCTGGTGACGGAGCGAGGAGCACTCATGCTGCCACTCACTCTCGGAAAGTCCGACTTCTGGACGCCTCAAAAAGACTTTCCACTGCACGATGAACCTCGGAATAACCGAGCCTCCTGACCCCGCCGTCCTTCCGTGTTCCCTCCCTGGCACTAGCGAGGCAACGTGTTGGTTTCGAACCTAATGCTCAGGTTCCGAACAAAGGCGCGTAACGTCGTCGCCACGCGACGCGGCAGCAGTAGCTTGATGTGCGAGCACGTGCATTTCGCATGCCGCGGGCGACGAAGAAGTGGTCCACTCGGGAGCGACTCACCGCCATTCGCTTCTGGTTCTCCTGAATCCGCTGCTTCCGCGCAGCTTCGTACTCCGACTGCGCGGGCGGAAGCTCCGGCGCCATGTACGGAGGTCGGCGGAACGAGAGGCGGCGGAAAGAGTGGGCGGCGAAACAAGAGCGCAGCCGAACGCGAGGGACTGCGAAAGAAAAAGGGGGCGAATGAGATGTCGTCTAAACGCGTGTGAGATTTTGGGTGGGAGCAGGAAATGGAGGGAAAAATGACTGCTGGATTTGCCTCCGAAAACCTCGCTGGTTTGTCAGGGGATGATGAGGAGTTGGATGTGAGATTGGGGGCTTTCGTAGAAGAGTGTACCAGGTAACTCATACAGCCGCTCGTGAATACTCACGCAGTCTCGCGCATTCTTCTCGTTAATTGTCGCCGCGTATACCGCCCAGCCCAGTTGCGCTTGTATCGGGACCTAGTCCATGTTTTCGCCCCAAAGCCCAAAGCAATAATTCATGCTTACACATTAAATTGAATGGCTATGCAGCCTATATTCATCTTAACACTACTCTTACCGTATACTCCCGGACAAAACACCCCCCCATAATTGTACACCCCCGGGTAGCTTGTGCGGGGTGGGTGTTATGATAGACCTCGTTTCTACTATACCCCCCTTTTTGGCTGATTTTCTATAGCACCCCCCTTTTCTTGCGGATTCATTATTATGGTCGTTAACGAGTAGCTCCAATACGGAAGAATATCGTGTGAATTTCTCCCTCAATGAAATTTCGCGGTACATTCAAAGGCAATCTGCCGAGATTTGCCCCCTCCCACTATTTCTCTATTGCCACGTGCAGGTGAATCTTCCGTTGCAAGTGGCAAGAGAGGTGTCACATGGCATTTTCGTGAGGGCGATGAAGTTCGAGGCCGTAACTGACATTCGCGCCTCAGGCAGTGATGCTAAAACGACCAGAAAAACACCCACATTGACTAATTAAAAAACACTAACACCAAAATATGCCATATGTAAAGACCCGGGTATTATGTATTCTTTTCCTATGAGGAGACCCCCCCCATTTTTTCCCTGTATTTTTAGCTATACCCTAGGGTGTTATGTCCGGGAGAATACGGTACCAGCAATACTGTAAGGAAAAAACCTTTTACTCAGCGGCGTACAACCCCAACTTTCGGAAGTGCACGTTCGGCCACTTTGCTTGGTGCCGAAGCAACCCCGCGTCGCCTTCGGCTTTCCTTTGCCCAACCTGCACCCAACATCGCATTCCCGAAATTCCCGCCTAGCTACGGTAGCTTGACCCACTATATTAGCGTGTGCCTTTCATTGTATTGTCTGTTCATTTAGTCACACCTCCGTTATTCATAATACCGCGCACTCTCTTTTACAACTCATAACACCTGGTATCAGAGCTATTTTCCTAGTTCACCTCGCTTTTCTATGGTAGTTTGGAGGCACGGGTGTGGCTGGTAAAGGAGACTGCAAAACGGTTGGCTGCAGGGTTCGTTTATTCTAACCTGCCCGACTCCGATAATTTTTGTTTTCTTCTTGCCTGATTGGCCACTAATACCCTTCTGCCATTTAAACGAAGCGTGCGACTCATGGACCAGGAGAAGTTGAACAAAATCTTTTCTCAAATGGCAGCACTACAGGCAACAGTGAAGACACTATCGACGGATGTCACAACTATCAAACATTGTATATGTTGTTGTTCTGTAGGCTACAGTGGGTTTAGCCTTAGGGGGTACAATATTCCACGGTTTCCTACTTGTACTCCCAATCTTGCTAGTCCAACCACTTCTTGTTTCTGACATGGTATTAAGAGCTTAGGTTCTAGACCTAGGACCACTTACCTAAGGGTCCACCGCTAGAAGCGCCCTCGAGCGCCGTATCGACTTAGCGCCCTCGAGCGCCTCTCTCCTAGTGCGCCCTCCTGCACCTCTCCTTCTCCTACTGCCAGTGCGCAGCTCGCTAGTGTCGCGCGCGGCCTTTTTATTTAGCGCGCGTAGCCCGCTAACAGCCCGAACGCGGCCTTTTCTGTGCGCACGCCGACCCTTAGCCGCCCGCGCGACCAGCGCCGCCACGAGCAGCCCGCTAGCCGCCCGTCGACCGACCCTCCTGGCCGTCCAGAGCGCCGCAGCCCCGCCCGTAGGCCGCCGCGTCGCCCTCGTAAGCCGCCGCCCGCGCGCAGGCCTACCGTCGCGCCGTGCCGCGTAGCCTAGTCCGTGCCGCGCCGCGCCGCCCTGCCCGAGCCGCGCCGCCCGAGTCGCGCCGCCCGAATCGCGCCGCCCTGACCGAGGCGCGCCGCCCCACCTACAGCAACTACTGCTCCTGTTCCTGCTACTCCTACTACTGCTACTGCTACTGCTAGAACTGCTACTGCTGCTACTGCTACTGCCACTATGGCCAGCCCACTGTTCTCACTTTTGACGCTGAGGGCCGACCGATTAAGTTTGATGTCTAGCTCGATCACCTACACCTGTTCCTCCAGATCACTGCCAAGGACGACGTTTCCCTATATGACCACACGTTCGGCGCTGCTCTCGCACCTGCTGCTACGGCTGACAATACTGCTCGCTCACAGTGGCAGACTCGTGACACTCATGCTCGCCTAGCCGTTCGCAGTCACCTGCCGTTAGATGAGCGCGAGCACTTTGGCCAGCATAAGACCGCTAAGGAGCTGTATGATGCTGTATTTGCACGCTATTCCTCCCCTGCTACTGCTGCGATAGGCCGTCTCTCGCTGCCCTATCTCTTCCCGAATTTGTCTGCCTTTGCCACTGTAGCTGACCTCATCTTCACCTCCGTACTAGTGATCTCCGCTACCGTGCCGCGCTCCCCCCCGATTTCCTAGCCAAGAACCCTCCCCCGATGTACCTCACCCTCTACCACCTAGTCACTGGCCTCCTTGACTCTCTTCGCGCTGTCAGGGACCACTTTCTTGCTCTCTCCCCCACAGACCTCACTGTCGACCTGCTCGAGAAGGAACTCCTTGCAGCTGAGAAGAGCATTGTAGCTGTAGGTGCCTCTCGTGGCGACCCTCGCACTCCCTTCTTTGAGGGATGTTCCCCCTCCCCCCTTCTCCCCTCTATTGCATCTGCTGCTGCTGTCGACTTCCTAGGTGCTGAGGGGGTCGGAGCTGCGTTCGCTCCCAGTGGGAGGCGCAAGGGCGGCAGGGGCAAAGGGGGCCGGGGTGGCGGAGGTGGTGGCGGGGGAGGTGGTGGTGGAGGGGGTGGAGGGGGCGGCGGCAGTGGCGGCGGTGGTGGGAGTGGTGCTGGTGGTGGGGGGGGCAGTGACGGAGCCGGGAGTGGTGGAGGCGGCGGTGGTGGAGGTGGCAGGGGTGGTGGTGGCAGTGGTGGCGGCGGTGGAGCTGGTGGAGGGCGCGGTGGAGCGGTGCAGCGTGGCGGGTTCGGCGACAGCCAGAGGCAGCAGCAGCAGCGTCCCAGCGAGACCCAGTCGCCCCATCAGCTCTGTGAGTGGTACTCTCAGCGTGGGGAGTCTGGGGGTGGAGGTACCTGCCCGTACGTCATTCGCATAGGTGACCGCACTGGCCAGACCTGTGGGAGATTTCACACGGCGCAGCACTGTTTCTTTCGCCTCGACGACGCCTGGCGCGAGCAGTTTTCTGACGCCTGAGCTGCCCCGCTGGGCTGATCTGCTTAAGAAGGGGATTGATATCTTTGCTCTTGATTATGATGCTATCCTTGCTGCTATGTATGCATTGACTGTTAGTGTTGAGGGTGACTGTTACCTGCGTGTACCGCCCGACCCGGGTATTGGGACCAGTGAGGCTGCAGCTCTAGGTGCTCGTGCGTCTGCTGCTCTAGGTCCTGGTGAGGCTACTGCCCTAGGTGCTAGTGCGTCTGCGTCTGCTGTTACCGCGTCTACTAAGGCACTGCACACCTTCACACTGGACTCAGGTGCTTCCCGCTGTTTCTTTCGCGACCGCACTGCCCTAGAGCAGCTTCCTAGACCGGTTGCTGTCTCCTTGGCTGACCCCTCAGGGGGTCCGGTCCTTGCGACCTCCACCACTGCCCTCCCTTGTCCTACTATCCCGTCTGGCACGCTGTCGAGCCTTTACCTCCCCTCGTTCTCTACAAACTTGGTGGTGGGTTCTGCACTCCAGGACGCGGGTGTTCACCAGTTCACCCCTACCTACGAGCGTGTGACGCACTGCACGTGTGCCCAGACGGGTCGTCACCTGGCTAACTTCACTCGGCAGCCGGGGTCGGACTTGTAGACACTAACCACTGAGTCACCTCAGGTAGCTGCGTCTGCATCTGCGTCAGGTCAGCTGTCGGCCCCCTGCTCGTGTCGCTCCCTGTCGCACAGGACTGTTCTCTGGAACCACCGCCTTGGTCACCCGTCAGTGCAGCGCCTTCGCGGCATGCACTCCCGGTACCTTGTGTCTGGTCTTCCCAGGGTTCTCCCTCCCCTCCCACCCTCGCCTGCTCCTCCCTGTCTTCCTTGTGTCGAGGGGCGGCAGCGCGCCGCTCCTCACTCCTCCTCGTTCCCTCCCACAGTGGCTCCCCTGCAGACTCTCCACCTGGACGTGTGGGGCCCCGCCCGCGTCTGTGGACAGG